ATTTGTTTGCCTGCTGACTGAATATCGTTTAATAAATAATTTGCTTCTCGTATATAAATTGGATGAATCATGATTTGTCGCTTATTGTTTATTCTAATAAAGTAAAATTCTATTTTTCAGCTCAGAACAAAAAAGTAGCACATTTGATTTTACAAGGAACAACCTTGCGGGCTGATACAATGTAAAAACAATAAAAAAAGAAGATATTGGATATCTAAGAAAAGAATGTTTTCCTGTGTTTTGTTTACATTATGATAAAACTGATTAGATCGTAAATGACATTGTGTTATCATAAAAGATTGGATAGTACCCACATGGATGTTGTATTTACAACTGTCAACTAAACCAAATGTTCGATGTCGACAACTGACATACTCAAATGATACAATACATAAAAACTAGGACGAATTCCTATGTAGTTTGAATTAAATTCAAACCTACTAAGCCCATTTTAGAGTGTGCGTGTCGAGATTCTGTGCACTTAAACCCAAGCTCACATCCTTTCGAAACAGTTAGGAGATAAAACATCGAAAATAAAAATATGCCGAGGAGACTAAATATCGCAGAGAAAAAACATTAAAAACACGTCGAACTACATTATGTCGAAGAATAAACGTTGACACTCAAAAAGTAGAAGAAACAAATATCAACACTACAAACTGTCGAAAAACTTCTACTCTATGCATAAGAAAAAATATGACTCATTCACATATGTTATTCGTTCTTTTACCTTATTAATCAACAATCTGTCGCCACGCAGATGTATGTAATTATTTTTCTTTCTTTCGTCAAGGCTTTGATTACTGTTTCTATTTTTATTCCTAGAGTTTTTCTCTCTTATTTTAGGTACATATAAGCAAGATAGGCTTCAAGGCAGTGATATCGTGAAGTAGCTAAGATTGAGATGGAAAGTTTGAGGATTTTCTTTTGATAATAAATGAGCAAACAAAAGCAATACAATATTGAAACTCTGTTGGACAAGAACTAAACTTTTTCCAAATTTTGAAGCCCAAAAGTGTACTATTCAAAACATCCTTGCTTAAAATTCTTTCAACTCCTTTGAAAAATAATTAAATCAGTGTTGAAGAATACTCACAAAGACTTTTCCTTGATCGCAAAAGGTATTAAAAATAAAAACTAAATTCATTATTATGTGTCTACTTAACATTTTTTTGCAGTACATTTGAGTTGAAAATATAACAATGTTTTCATCCATTTTTACTATTCTTTCACTCAAATAGCAATACAAAAATCTATATTTTCTTCGATTTAAAGAGCAAACTAAGCTAATATGTGATAGTGAAAAATTTTCAACTGTCTCATTCAAAATTTAACATTGTCGATATTTTCATTTTCGGTGTTTTTTTTCGACATTTTTCTTTTAATATTTTGCTGTTGGACATTTTCAATTTCGATGATTTGTAACTTTGCGTTCGAAATCAGCGCATTTTATCGTTTATTGGTATGTAGAGAAGGAATAAATGCAATCGGGAGATCGTTGGCCAACGCAACAAAAATATATTTGCATTGCGTATTCATTCACATGATTAGAAAAATAAATCTCTCATGTGGATTTTCAAGGTTATATTGATGGTAATTTTGGATAAAAATGTGTTATTGTTTCTGTTTGCGTGAGACTGCACCAGTACAAACGACGATAGGAGTCTTATAAGGAAAGAACGGAAGGAGAATCAATTCGTCTCTATATAAATATACGAGCATTTATTCATTTACTTTGCGTATTCGATAAAAGCAAAAATCCAGATGGCTGACCCCAGATTTTGTTACAAGTCGATAACAGATAAAGACATGGAATTGTTCAACAAGGTAAATCAATGCATTCATTCCTTTTCATGTATATTCTCTATCGATACATCGATTTTTTAGTACAAGAAGTCTATTGACATCGAAGTTCGAAAAAAATTTCCATCAATTTCCACAAATTTTGATCTGAAACCAGTGCGTGCCCGTCACATCGAAGCCTGTGGTACAATTCATGATTTTAAGGTACAATTAATCACTCGTCATTGCATCAATCATTTGTTTCATATAAATATTTTAGATTGCTGTACCTGAGAACAAATTTGTCAAAGTTTCTTTTCGTACAGGCGGTGATTATATGCCACCACCTGACCGTACGCCAGATTGGAAACCACCAGAGCCTCACATCAACGTTGACGATTCATTAACATCAACAGCTGATGAATAATCGTTTTATTTTCGACGAATTTTTGCTCCTTTTTATATACTATTGTAACCCAAAATCCTTTACAATAAGTCATTCTGAATTTTGCGACTTACACCTACAGTAGATCTTGTATGACAATGTAGAAATGAATAAATGACTAGGATTCCAGTAGAAACCAAATAAATATGAAAAAAAAAGCGTCCACTAGATAAATTGAGAAACTAATAAACTGAAACGAACATTGCTGCATGGTGACTAGATGACAAGTTTGCATTTCTCAAACAAAGCTACAAAGTAAACAGATGTTTATCATTTATGAAAACGGATTTGTCCGCCATAAAATGCATTAAAAACAAAAAAAAACGAATATCAAACCCTATTAAATAACACAATTAGTATACAACATAGAACTTTTAATATTGTGATTCTTGAAAAGTGATTTAGAGAAATGATACAAGACGAAATCAACAGGCTTTTGGATTTGAATATTTACAAAATATTCGAAGTATTCCAGGAGATGAAGTGAGGGAATCTTCGAAACAGTAACATGTCAGCACTAGCCATACTGGAGTTTTTCAGCATCATGAAATCCTATATCACAGCAGTATTTTTTCGGTTCTCGTTTCACACGAAAACAGAATTGAACTTCGTTTACTATCCGATGGCTTAGAATTGCGTTCTAAGTCTCTTCTACAAACACCGTTTTTCGATCATCTTTTATTTCAGATTTCGTTTTTTTTTCCTATTTTTTTCATTCGATGCTCTTTTCAATCTGCCCCAGCTTCTTATCTCACCCGAAACAGTTGAAATTTGGATATCATACTCACCTGGAGAAGCACTATTTACAGATAGATGTAGGTCTTATGACCATCCACATCCTGATCTCAAATTCAAAAACTGTAAAAATTCAATTCTTGTAGTTCGATTAATGATAAATACTTTTATAAATAAAAGAATCAATAAAAAGTGCATGTTGTTTAATAGGGTGGATGTGTGGAATTGCATTTCGTTTTCCGTCACACTGACACCCAGGGCGGCTCCTAGAGAGTCTTATTCTATTTATACTATGGCTCAATAATATCTAGCAGGTCTTGACATATCTGCGTCATTGAATGCGGTTGACAAGCAATCATCATCGAAAATTGGTTTATGTCAAGCAACAAAATGTTTCTGCTTTCTGTTTGTTGAACACAAATAATTGTAAGAGTACTAATGAATATAAGACACTTGATAGTATTCTTTGGAAATTCATCGTCAACAGTCTTTGCAGAAAATATATTTTTGTAGTGACTTTCAATCAATAAATATTTTGTTTGTTAAATGAATTCATTTTAAGAAAATTATCCTTGGCTTGTCTTTAACATTTTCCCTGAAAAGTGTCTATCACTATCATAGTTTTCTGAAAAAAAAGACGTTCTTTTTCTACTCACACAATACTTTGTACATTTTGACCAATCTGATTGTGATGAATTAAACATATTTTGAGAGAAATTATCTATATAAATAAAACCGAGTAACTAATCTCATATAGAAAGACTCTTATAACTTCGAGAATGAACAGAAAACGATCTAGTTGGTCAACTTATATCGGATAGCGGACAGTTACCCGCAAACATTTGGTCGCTTGGGCAATCGCTCGCTAGGGCACTTAGTCAGTTTTCAGGCATTGATAATAATTTTAAATAAAATAACGAAATACGATACCACAATAAATTAATTTTTGTTTACAGAATTCATCATCATCATAAACTAACGATTCTAATATAATGACATATTGTACTCAACCATAGACATTTACGACCAANGCCCAAATCCTCTTAGGCTTTTTCTTAGCATACTGACCCCTACATATGGGCAAAATATAAGCAAAATCGGCGTGAATCACTTGGAACGGTTCCCTCGTGAGAGATATAGAAGTATTTACCGAAGGATGAGACCATTTCTGTGAGCTCTTAACATATTTATTACAAAGCGAAACTGAAAAAACCAGAAGAAAATAAACAACATCAAATATGCAGTTGTCAGTTACAAGAAGACGGAAGTATATGTCATAAAAACTCTATTTTGTTCAACTTTTTCTATTTCTTATCAGTGATCAACTCTTTTGATTCATTTTGTATGCCACTTTCATATTACTTGTTGTATTATCATGCACTGATATTGTTATTTTTCACGAATATTGGTATTTATTTCTGTTATCTATTCAGCATGGTTCTTTTATTTTTATTATCGTTGAAAAAAGTACTAGTTGTCTTTCTACGTATGTTTTCTTTGTTTTCTGTTTGCTATTATGAGAAAGAAATAGCATGATGCATTTCTCTTAAGACATATTGATGCAAAAAAATAATAGTAAAAATAGGATTGGTACTCCATCTTCTACTATAAGTTCTGCCTTCGTTATTTGTTCATGATTGATTTTTCAATGAGTCTACATTATAAAGAGAAACTGACTATATTTTTCTTTAGTCTCTTGAGTAAAAGAAATCTCGAAAACTGTACATGAGCAAATATGCATGTCGAGAGGTACGACGAAATATAAAGAATTGCAAAATTATACTTTTTCTTCCTGGCACGAATTATTTTGAGTCCAAATACGGTAACTATGTGTATGTACCAATGCACACGGTGAACATGTGAATGACATTCAAGAAAATGAAGCAATTAATACATAGTCATTGCATTATGCCTTGTAATATATATAGAAAGGACTACATTTTTATATTTCACTTAGAGGTGATAGATTTGAACGATGCTTTTGGGGTTTGCTTGTATAAATAAAATACCACAATAAAAATTCTTAGAAACTAATGAATTATTTTTTAATTGTTTTTTCAGTCCATGAAATTCCTTCCCGTTTAAGTTCATGTAAAATTGACTGGTAAATCGTACGTTTAACTGGTTTAACAACACCACGATCAGAAATTTCATCTAAAGAGAAAAATTTCATTTAAATGATTACTCGACAAAAGCAAAGGAAACTCAACATACTGTCAACAAGCATTCGAGTAACAATAGCAGTTGGTAAACCAACTATTTTTGCCATAGCAGTGTATTTTTGATCACCATAAATAACCATTTCTATTGTTTTTAATTCGTTTTCTTCTCGTGATACTGATGGCCATGTAACACCGACTTCATGATGGAGAATAACAATGTCACGTTCATTGGGTCCATAAGATAAACGTTTAGCTAACCAATTACTTAATGTATCAAGTGGATTTGAACGTTTTTCAACAAGAATATCTTCTGAGAGAAGACCAAGTCTAAATTAAAAATATTTGAAAGAATTTTTTTAAATAAAAAAAATGTTTTGTTTTACTGATCAATAGTTTCTAATTGACTTTCATTTTTTAATTGTTGAAGAACAACAGATCGAATTGTGTTTACTGATGTATCACGTTTCAAATTTAATAAATCACACATAAATTCTTTCCACGTAAGATTATCAGTAAATTGTAAACTTGGATGCGGTTTATCACTAAGTAAACCAAGACGAATTAATCCAAGTGTATTTGAACAAAAACCCTTAAATATAATATTCAATTTCATCTTTTGTGTTTTTTCCTTCTTCGTATTTTACTTTATATCTTAAAGTTCCTCGAAGTATTGTATGTACAGTATCAAGTTGTAACGAATCAATATATTTTGTACTATCTTGATTTGGATAACATTCAAGATTAAAACCTGGAAGAAAATTTGGTGTTGTACATCCATTTTCCATGACACCACCATTAGCTTCAAGTTGAACAATCTAATTTAAATACTATTGAAAAATCTATTTTATAATATGGGCAAAACTCGTTCATTAGGGGTGTTATCTCGCAACATTAAAACATGTGTATCTAAGGATAATGAACTTTTCTAGAACTAACTTTTATATATCACATACATATGAAATTACTCAAAATACTCTGAAAAAAAAACAGTGCTACCCAAGCAGTCAGAAAAGTGAAATTGACGCGTTATAACAAACGTCTTGCGTTCTTACTTTGAACGCATTTTACACAGTCAAAAATGTCCGAATTTTGGCGTTTTAACAGTCGCAATATTTTAAGCTTT